AACAACAAACAAAAACAGAAAGTTAGCAAACAGTTTCCCTCTCTTGCAGCTAACTTTGCTAAGGTTAGCTAGCACCGACTAACAGACGCTAGCGCGTCAGTCGTCCACATCTCCTGCTTTCCCGAAAAAACCGTAAAACCTTTGACAACTAGAACACTTTCGAGTGACTATTACAGGTTAATTTTAGGAGCAAGTGAAGCAAACAGCTCTGTAAACGCTACCGAGCACAGTTTCTCCTCGCATCCGGCGGTTGCTAGGGCGGCCATGTTTAAGCGAATCTGTAAACAAAGCAAACTTTATTTAAAAAGGGAGCCCCGAGTATTTGTGTAGTTACTAGTTGAGCGCAGCAGAGGACGCTGCTTATCATCAGTGGATTGTGGTGTTTGTACATGAAGCTGTTAGACTGGACTAGACTGGAACAAATCGGTACAGTACAAGCTCCCATCAGGTTACATGATGTGAGACAAACCTAATGTAACCAGGAGACTGTAGCTATGACAACAGTCTTGCAAAGTGCTTCACCTTATGGTTTCTTTTACATAAAAGCATCCTTTCCCTTCTGCTAAACATGTAGTTTTGTTGTCTTTATGTATGATTTCTTTTTCTTTCTCCCCCCAATCTGTTGTTATTTATTTATTTAATGAGACAACCCAGCTGATGAGTCTAAAATCCAGCCTATAAAATGTCCAACAAGTTTATAATTTTTGAGCGTAAACTCCTCCTAGGTCATGACATTAGTGTCCTCAGTTGTGGTTAATAAACAGACTGGATTACCTTTTGCACCACTGCGTTTAAATATATTTTTTATAACTCGCTCCCTGAGGTAGAGAAACATCTGAGCGCACCATAACACAACCAGGTTAGAGTTACCTATGCATCCCACTCTCTCAAATAACTGCCTATCCAGTCGACCGAGGCCACAGTTATTTCTGCAACGGCTTTTTTATGATGGCCAACAGCTATAATTATTAAGAGAGCTGGCTAAGTGACAGTCAGAGAGAAAAGAGGAGTGAGAGAGAGCGAGAGGAGGGAGTATAAATAGAAACCTGAATCCATTATTGAGTGCAGATATTGGGGATGGTCTCTCCCATGGGTGCAGAGGCAGAGTTGTCATCGCAACATAAATAGCAACCGCTCTCCTTAATGAAGAGTGTTACAATTTCCTGTCTTCGTCCTCTGCCGAGGGACTCGTTTAATGTGATAAAAGAGACAATCAGATGAACCTTCAGCCGGTTGGCATAACAGATCCGGCAAACATGCGAGTACAAAGTAGGGGATTTCCAGAGCAGACGGGGTATATTTGTGTACAAAAATGTAAATGTCCCCGAGTTAATAATGGTTTGCATGAGCTTTAATGTGGAATACAACTGATGCCGGTGCTAGGAAACAAACTTTTTGCTGACGTCTGTCATAGCTTGGCAAGAAACAACAAAATCCTGACTCTAAATCTACCTGGTAACAGATGTTTCAGCTGCATGTCGCTTTCCTTTTTTTACCAGCTAGAGTTTACCCATGGAGATAGCTCGGTTGTCATCGGGTGACTTAAATCAACAGGTGGTTGAATGACTTACATCTTGTAGTCACAATGATAGAGCAGGGACTCAGCTCTTTTACAGTGTTAAATAAAAATCACTGTAGGACAACATAGAAGAACCAAACGTACAAGCAAACAAACAAAAAACACTCTTTAAACAGAATGACTCTTTTAGAATGAAACTCATTATGCTATGTCATCATAATTACTGATGCACTGATGTATATGCATCATTAAACGTGCAGTCATAAAGTTGCAGTTTTAATTACTTTATATGCAGGTGAACGGTAGTAAAGTGTTGCGCAAATGTGTGTAGTTGCTCTCTATTACTGCACATGACTGAAGTTTAGATCACAACAAGAATAACTGAACCAGTGGCTCAGTAAGTAAACGGAATGTTTTTCTGTCAAGCTAGCAAATAACTTGGTTCTTTTAAGCATTTTTTCTCATAAAAGTCAAATTGATCTCCTCATAAAGGACAGTGAATTAAATAAAAGTACATTTACACATTCTTGGACACTGTTAGCATTTCTTTTTATTACTCAAAACTCCTTGGATTTGCTGCCCTTTCTGTTTACTTTTCCTGTAATCCCGACTGTCTACTGTCTTTATAAATCTTTTATCCTTCTTTAAAAAGTTTCTACTTCTCAGCGTTTACTGTTTTGCACCAAATCACAGCCTCACATTTCTAATATGTCAGAATCTACTTTGCATAACAACTGATTCTGAAATAACCATCTTCTCTCATAGCGTGACAAGGAGTCTATTTCAGGACCGGCTGTGAATTTTCAACTTAGTTTTGTCACGTCTTCGCTCTCAAATTAAAACCTCAGGTGAAACAATTTATCCTTGACCTGAGGAGACCAGCGTAGGAAGCCAGGAGGGGAAGGAAAGAGAGGAAGACGTGACCTTTGACCTCTTCTTAGGAGCTGTTTGGAAATGTTTTGAGACATGATCCTTGTAAACTGAGAGGTCAGTTTTGCATTCATGGGCGGTGGAACTATGAGCTTCACTCCAACCAGTTCTTTGAATTAGACATGGTTATTTATGCCATCTGCCGTCGTGTTTATGTGTGTGTGTGTGTGTGTGTGTGTGTGTGTGTGGGCTTCCAGTGCGAGAGTGTGTGTTTTGTTTCACTCTTAAACCACAGGTGAGTGAGTTTACGTGTGCTGTCCTGCTGCAGCCTGTTACCAAACTGAGGTATTCTCAGTTAACATGCCTGCTTTAATAAGGGTTAACAACATGGACAAACACACACATAACATAAACAACGTGCACCGGCAAAAATGCATAACATGGACACACACAAGTGGGCAAGTGTCCAGATGTCTCGGACCACGAGGGGCCCCCCAACAGACACAAGTTCATGCAATACCTAAGGGCTGCGAATTCGATTAGTTATTGTGAGCCACTTAAATACAACATAGTGCCGAGTTTGAACACTTTTATTTTTGTAGTTTGTTTTGCTGCCATGTGGAGCAGATTACTAAATAAAGTTGTTAAATTAAAGGAAATCTTAGATATAATAATTTTGGTTTCATTACAGGAGGTTTCAGAGGGTCAGTGGAGACCAGAGCAAGATTTTTGCACAGAGGCTCCTTAACAGATTAATGTACACACACACACAGCACGTGCACGTACACATGCACACACGCACATAAACACACGCACACACACACACAGAGCTTGTTCTGACACCTGCTGTAATAGTATATGGTGTTAGTAAGCAACTTGATCCGGTTGCATCCCGCGCATGTTGGGCATGTTAGACTCAGACAGGCTTCCAGCCAGTGTGCGCACATGCATTCGTGAGTGTGTGTGACTGTGTGTGTGTGTGTGTATGTATACATATCAGTAAATTATGTGAGCAGTAAGGAAAGGCAGGGGGAAAGTGATCAGCGTAATCGCTTTCCCTGCTGCGCTTCAGTCTCGTACCTTCTCTCCGTGTGACGTCAACACGTCAACACTTCTGCGAATGTACCTTTGGATCTAACTGAACCTGTCTCCTGTAACTGACACGTTCGGCTAATTTAATGCGCGTGCACGTGTTAACGTCAAAACTTATGAGTTTCCTGCTGTCCTCCTCCTACCTGCGTTGAACTTGCACAGCCAGGCTTTATATGAGCTCTCACTGTGGTATTTTTCAAGGTGGTACAACAGACAGGTACAGGTTGTTAACTTGAGGGGTGGCACCACTTTCAGTGATCAGAGGACAAATCTGAGATAACAAGAGAGAATTAAAAGGTCCTTAATTCCCTCTGCTGGTCTCTTATTCTTTCCTTTGTTGTCCTTACAAAACACTGAGAGCCTTTCAGTCCTCCACAGCTCTTAGATGTGGGGGTTTCAAGTTGACTGAGCTTTGTTTAACCGTCTGAATAGGGCAGGACACGGTGGTAGCGCCTGGTCCACAGAGAAATAATGTAATATGGTTTATACAGATGGAATTTTTGGCATAGAGACCTTAATGGTTCCCAGAGTTTGAATCCTGACACTTCAGTGATCCTCTTCTCTGACCTTTCATTTAACACCACCGGCAGCAAGTTTCCACTCGTCCAGCACTTCAGCTCAGACAGAACAGTATGAAATGATTTGTAGGATTTATGTTCAGATGACTATTTGGGTGTTTTTATGGATGTATGTTATGGACGTGGCTGAGACACGACGTGAGGATGGAACGTGAATGCCAAATCCAGCCTGAGAAAAAAATTAAGTGAAGAAGCAGATTGCCGAGAAGCAATGAGGTTTCATTTTCCCTCCTTCTTCTTGTTTCTGTAATCCATAGCTTCATTAGCAAAGCACTTTACAGCACTGCAACAAAGTTAGAAAGTGCTTTACAATCAAACAAATGTCAAATAAATAAATAATGTCCCACAACTGCAATGTAAGACAATCAAATATACAGCATGTTTAAGGCAGCAACAGTTGCATCAAGCACCTTCCAGGAAAAAAGATTATAATCAGCTTTACAAAAGTAACCTAGCAAGTGTAAATATTTGGGTTAAGGTCCTGTAGTATTATTTATAGTGTGGTTTTACCTCAGTATTTACATATATCAGCTTTAAACTCTACAAAAATGAAAGAAAATGCTACTTTACTTGACTATAATACATGTGAAGGCCACAAGTCAACAAACCAAGATATAATAACTTTTCTAAAATAAAGAACAGAAAAGGTTAAAGGTTAAAAAAAAACGTAAGCCCATTCCTATAAAACTCATACAGACTATCAAAGGCAACATGTGGTAAAAGCTACGGGTGGACAGAGTGGATTTGAGTGTAACTGGTTGGAGGCGAGGGAGATAAAAGACTCCTCTGCACTGCTGTCTGCCATCTTGGCTAGTTTAGTTGTGGGCTGTCATCAGCCATCAAATTGTGATCAAATGCATGTGCAGCGGTGTTCAAAGATGAAGTTCACATTCCTCGCCTTTTTTTTTCAATATCCAGCCATCCGCTAAACCTGCTTTATCCTGTGTAGAATCACACGGGGGGGCTGGAGCCTTTCCCAGCTGACTTTGGCTGAGAGATGACAGGTCACCAGTCCATCACAAGGCGAACACAAAGAGACAGATGACTGTGCACGCTCACACATATGGCCAATTCAGAATTAGCTTTTGACCATGGCACCACTCTACTGCTTCCTCTAACTGGTCCAAGGTTTTCTTCAAATTATTGTGACGACAAACACTGTTCAAATCCATCAGTCCATTAAGTGTAACAGCTTTACGTAGAGGAC